AAAATGACTCAAATTATGATATTTAACCTACAATAAGTAAAATTACCACCTTTACCCCGTGCCAGAGGCACAGGCTACATTCTACTATAAAATCTTTTAATGTAACTGAAAATGACTCAAATTATGATATTTAACCTACAATAAGTAAAATTACCACCTTTACCCCGTGCCAGAGGCACAGGCTAATTCTAGTCTTTAATAATTTTCAATTTCAATTAATTCTGTTTCAAGTTGCAATATCGCAATTTTGTAACTTTGCAATAAAAACTAACTGTGTATTGGCTCAAGCAATTTTAAAAATAAACAAAAAGATCGAAAGTATTTTCAGTAATTGAAATGTTAATCTAACATTTATTTATCTTTAGCATTTTCAATATTATTATAAACTTTATCTAATTGCTGTGCTTCAACCACATAATCTCTTAAAAATAATTCTAATTCGTTAATTTTTTTCTCTAATTGTTCAACTTGACTTTCATCATCAATATTATTAGACGATTCTGAAAGTTGAACTAAAGGAAATGTGGATAAAACTTCATTTAACTTTTTTTGATATTCCTTATAAAAGTAGCCATTTTTTTGCATTAATCCAAAAGGTTGAATTGCGTCATCACCTATATTTTAAAGATAAAAGATAATGGTTAAATTCGTTATTATATTTAAGATAAATTGTTGTTATACAGGTCCATAATGTCGAAACTGCCTTTTAGCAATATGATATTTGTAAAAGTCTTATATATTGAAAAAAGTCGAACCCGATTTCGACTTCTATCAATTGCAAAACTTAAATACATGAAAATATATTTGCTTAATAGTAAAACGTACCAAAAAGTAACTTGTAAGCAACAACAGCAAGTGACCATGCACCGCCAAGTAAACCAAGAGAACTCAAAACCTAAATGAAATTGTGAATTAATTTATACGTCTATAATTGACAGTTTAGAAATACTTACTGTATGTGTTCTTTAAAATTGGTTTATGGTTAAGATTAAATAAGACGGCGATAAAAGCAAACCTAAGGAAATGTTAATCAAGATTACCTTTGCTCTGTTTCCACAGTAGTTATGTCAAATTCTGCATGTACTGATAAAAATGATAGCACATATTGCATTCGCGACACACCTAGATAACATATAACAATTAATATTTATATAATTTTATGGGTACATTTACTTTACTAATAATGATTTTGCTGATACATCAGCGAAGTGATATTCTGAAAAATGAATGTTTTACTAAGTTTCAGAATTGTCAGATGAAGGTTAATGTAGAAATGAAATTACTTTTCCTTGTCGTTAGGTAAGGTTTTATATCATAATCTGGTTGAAATCCCATTATGGCCTTCCAGTTTGGAATAATAATTTTCCTGATGTTTCGACTGACATAAAGGTCTAAATTCTTTTAATAAATAAATTTTAATATCGGTTGAACAATAAAGAAAATTTTTGATTTTATATCTGATTAAACATGCATACTTGTCCTATTAAAATTTCGTAAGTATTAGCTTGTGCAATTGATTGTAAAAACACTGAAGAAATACTTTCTTTCGAATTAACATTTTCTGTATATTATAATCTTAAAGATTTAGTATTTATAATAACTATGTAATGAAGAGTTAGCGTTTATAAGCATACCTGAATCAGAAACACTAAATAAAAAACGTGAACTAGTATTTAGATTCGCATTTTCATCCATAAATTGAAATTGAAAATTAATCAATTGTTTGCCACGTTTTCCATATTTTGTGTTATTTGATAAACTTAAGATCAATTTATATTTATTTTCAAACGGAACTGAAAAATATCCATTGTAATAAGATCCATCTTTGTATAACGGTTCTGTGATATATTGGTTGCAGTCCTTAAAGTCCATATCAAAAGTTCCATTAAGATTTACGGTCCCTTTAAATATTTTTCAAGTCAAAAGATTACGAATGTAAGATTTTTATGAAGCATTCTCTTATACGTCAGCCTAAACTTTTATCTTTAAATTTAATTTTGACGTAAAATTTATGATTGTATATCATCTTACCAGAAATTTGAAAGTAGCATCCCATCATAAACAAATTCTCCGAAAAGACTTGGACATCTGAATTAATTTTTAATCAAAAAATATTTATTATAAGTTAAACATTTGATTTATTACAATTTCAAACATAAGTTTTTTCTTTTTACCTGGCACCGGCATATCTTCTTTAATATAAGTATAATTTATGACAGGTTGATCGTTTATAATGTCGAGAATTACATTAATAGTAAAGATTATTATACAAATTAAAAAAAAAAACATGGTAATAATCCTTATGACATGAACTGATGAAGGTTCAGTCCTGCGATATCTCTGGTAAATTTCTCCAAAAATCATCTCGTTCAAAATTTAGGAAATTATCACTTAATTGTTATAAAAATACATATACTAAAGTTCATGTAATATATATAATATCGATATACATTGATCAGTTGCTAATATCGTGTTACAAGTAATTTTGAAACTTACGCCAAAAAAAGTTACAAATAATAATTGATTTCTGAATTTGGTGTTCACATATGTGTACACATGTACATTTACATCTCTTTCTATTTTTTCCATATTTGCTACAATTTCATTTTCCGTGTTGATAATTCAACAAAAAGGAGAAAATAAAAGTATTGGACTGATTGACAAATCTTTCACAGCCTATTTATGTCGTGTTTGAAGGTGTCACTTACGTACGTACGTACGTACATAGATTGCGATTTGATGCACTACATTCTAGAATTCTTTATGCTTAACCTTAATTTTAGTCAGTCTCTGGGTTACGTTGTGGTTATACAAATATCTTACTAGTACCTTATTTCACACAACATTTCTTGAGCTACTTCATGATATCTTGAATATCGCATAAAGCAAACAAAGAAAAATATTCACTATCTTGATCAATTGTAACTAATAAAACTTGTCGGATCTTCTACAGCATAGGTGACACCATTACTAAAAATGTATTATTAATCAATTGATTTAGAATAGGTGGCACATATACTGCAAGAGACTCTACCATTCTTTTTGACTGGATATATATGTGCTAACTGATACCCCAGTAGAATTGACTAGCTTTACTTAAAATTTGTAGCCATTGTTGAATAAAATCTTACTCGTGCGCTAGAGCGAAAAGTCATATTTGTTTGAAAAGTTAAGTAAACTTAATTAGTCAAACGTGTTAATGGAGAAATCAGGTGAAATTATAATAAGGTATGTAGTGCAGGCTCGTCTTACTTGTATAGCCATAAATAAAATTGATACATATGTATTTACTGTGGTTACTATTATTATATTGATTTTACATAATCGAAATTTATAATAAGTGTACAGAAATAATTATATAATTGAATTCAAATGAGGGAGCTAGAAGATACAACAATAAATATCTACAAATTGCTTATCTTAATATATTCATTA